TCATTTTACCTATTCCACTGGCCTATGTGGTGCTCGGATCAAATTCATAACTGCGAGCGCGCGAGCGCTGATGACCAATGACACCATCCAGCGATTTTATTGGTCATATTGAAGTGTCGTCCTGCCGACGCGCGCGCTGCAATCAGCATTAGGGTGTCAACATTGAAAAGCAATTTGGGAGGTCGTCTGTGATTGGCTATTAATCGCTGCTTTTTTCTCTTAACTACAATTCTCCAATCTGCATTCACCATTGACAACCATGACTGACAACCACAAAGAGCTTCTCCACCCGTCCGCGCTATCCTCACTGGCTCTGTAAAATTTCCAAATTTGTAAAAAAATTACCGGGGAAATGCCCCACCGGTCCCTGTAAATCGCCCAGTTCCTGTATAATTCTTACCGGGTGGAGCAAAAATTGACCGAGTGCCCTGTATCCTGGCGCCCGATACAGGGCGCCTGGGCACCCTGGATTTTTACCCGGTAAAAATGCGAATGACTCATATTTTGTATACTAGTCAAAACATAAATACAAAATCGAATTTCAAGACGAAGTTCGAAGTTATCGATGGCATACAAGTCGCGATTCCCTGCATCTTTTTACAGGGCGACTGGTGGGGCATTTTGTTTTATCTTGCTCTGTATCGCGATATACAGGGCGAAATCACCCGGTGAAAAACCCCAGAGCCAGTGTGGGATACGGGGAACCGGTGGAAATACTCTAATATCTCATCAATCCTTTTTCCACAGCAGCCCTCAAATGGTGTGCGTCAATTTTGTGATGGAGCAATAGTTAACTGTTGGTAACACATATGCAAATGACTTCGGAAAAGGTCTGGTATTGTCTAGCAACATCCAGCCTGCGTCTTCATCGTATAAAATCGAGAAGATAATACCAGCAGTGTCAGGAAATGCAACTTTGTTGAGGGTTACGCATGGGATACGAGCTGTTGGCTCTCGGAGCTGTTGCCTTGGCTCGTGAGCGCTGAGCCAATGTCAATGTCTACCTCCTCGTCATTATCTTCTTCATCCAGATCGTTGAAGTCTTCATCCTGCAGCGCAGTGCCCTTGAATATGCTAGAGCACTCGTTGTATTTTTACATCCCATTTGATTTTGACGTACCGGAGCCGCCGGTCAAACTCTGCATCACCGTCCGAGAGTGGGTTTGGATTGTCGAAGGTGCAATACCACGTTAGAGGAATTGAAAGAATGCAGAAGAAAGCAAACATCCCAAACGTCGAGCCAAGATCCTTGCCTAGATGCATCATCAAGAGTTGTCCAATTGAGTTGATTGTGAGCAATACCTTGGGTCGCAAAGCCGTAGGAGCCAATTGCAGCGCCTAGCTTGCCCATGGCAGCGGAGAAACCGTGGCAGCGCGCACGGATCGGTGTCGGGAACATTTCGGTCGGCATCACAAACGTCGACGTATTGGGCCCAAAGTTGGAAAAAAAGAGCGAAAGTCCATACAGAAGGATAAAGCTCTATCGCACATTCTCGTAAGGTCACATCGTCCATCGATAAGCGCGCGAAGTTCGCACCGTACTGTCGTTCTGGAGGCTACTCCAGACGCCAGATAGAATCAGGAAGAGAAGCGTCATGAAGCAGAACCCTTGGAGCTGCATCATGCGTCGACCGAGGCGGTTGATAAAGTAGACGGCCACGTAGTACCCAGGTAGTGCAACAAGTGCAACGAGCACATTTTGTGTCGTCACTTGGGTCAACGACGCATTGTGGATGCCAACGACGGTCAAGATTGAAGCCGAAAAGAGGTTTTGGGCATAAAACACAATGTCAAACATGAACCACGTGCCTGCCGTGCCGAGAAGCCAGCGCCCGTACACCTATGCCGACTTTGACATAACCATGATCAGAACAAATCATACCCGGAGGACAAAGAGGAGCGGGATTGAAGCGTTGTTAGTTGGTGCTGTCGTCTTGGACTGCGTGAACGCCACAGTCTCTTCGGCGTGGTACCGGAAAAAGAAGACGAGTGCCGACGGAATGACACCAATGCCAAAGAGAGATCGCCAAATGACCTCGAGGCTCTCAGGCGACGCCGATCCTTTCGGTCCCGGCGCGTGCACAGACACGAGTATGTTGCCCATAATTGCGGCCGTGACACACCCGACGCCTTGGAGCGAGAACGTGAGCGCCACGCGCTGGTTGCGGCTTTCCACGGACGATGCGTCTTCGGCGGATGCAGCCGCCGCCAGCGGGTACTCACCTACAGACAGCGCATCGCTTATAAACCTATGTACCAGCAGAAAGAGCAGAGAGCACATACCACCGATTCCGACGCCAAGAAAACCACGTGCTACGACGAGAATCCAAAGCGTTGCTGTCGGCGACCCACCGCTGGCGAACGCACAGATGATGCCTCCCAGGATTAAGATCGCGCACGTAATGATCATGCAAATGCGCCGGCCGAGCACATCTGCGAGGTAGCCAAAAGCGATTTGTCCGATGATAGCGCCAACTAACGCCGCAGCCGAGACCGCGCCTAATGATTGCCGCGATATGAGTGATTGCTCGGGTTGCTGGACGCGTTGGTACCTTTGAGCGACGGAGTGTAAACGTCTTTTCCATATTGCTCCTCGAGCACGACGTTGACGACGTTCATGACGAAAAGGTCATAAGCGTCATTGAAGAAGCCCAGGCCTCTAACAAGGAACGGCGGAAGATGCATCGGTTTGCGCTCGGGCTTGTGTGCCGATTTGAATGTGGTAACCACCGCCCCATTGATAGAATTCCGGATAAACGGCGTTTTTCAAGTAACGTTAAATTTGTTGCATGAAATTAGTTCCTTGCTGTTGATGGCAAACCTTTGCGTGGTTCTTGAGGCACAGCTGATAAGCTGGTGCGGCAACAAGGTCGTCGTCAAGTTGGCACGATAGGGCTATCGCTGCATCACCCACCACGTGACAGAGTGGCGCCGTAGGCCGTTTTATCGGCTCCATCTACTATCCAGTAGCCACAGACAATAAACAGACGACAATACGCGGCGTCATAGAGCTCATGCACATCATAGTTCATGATCTGGTGCGGGTAGTGAATGGGTGTTTGCCTGAGATTAGACCACTGTGGTGTTGTCGGCCACCAACTTCGTGCACGGTGGTTAACAGCCTCACGTCCATCCTCGAAGGCTACTTGGTGGGTTGAAGGAATGCTTCGTGTTGGTGTATTACCCACCGTGGGCGTGGACGCCATGGGCGCGGCGTGCCTTGACTACGGAGAGTTGTCCATCATGTCACTCTTAAGAGACCGGAGTGTTTTGGTTTCTCACTGTTCTCTTCAAAACCCAGCGTTCGTATGCCCTACTCGCAGAATCTACCTCAACGAGTCAGACCATGCACATCGTCCTCGCCATTTTGTCGACGTATTCTTTCCACCACCACAGGCGAAATGCAACGAGAGAATTGTCTCGGAGGATTGAGAGGCCGCCTTGAGGCTGTTGATATGCATAGTAGCTTTTGGAGAAAGCAGTTGGCGACACAACTATCCAAAATGCACATGCCTTGAACCGGCAAATATGCGTCACCTTCTCGCTTTTACTCTGCATACAACTTGAACCAGCAGCTCTCGTCGAGTTTGCAGGGTTTTGGGTCGACCATTTGCTCGGCAACAAAAATGGCACATGCCACATTTAACCAAGGTCAAGGTGGCATCTTCGACCAGAAAAAGATCACCAGAAAATGGCCCAGCGAGGCCAGCGCATGGTCAGCGACTCGGTCGAGTCGGACGATGTTGCGCTTTCGCCGGGAGACGAGAAGGCGAAGAAGATAGCAGGTGTACCGACGTCCTCAGCGTCGTCGACAGCTAGCAACCCGCTGCCCCGGCGCGCGTCCTCCAAGCGGTGGTTCTCGGACTCGGACGAAGAGGGCCTTGGTTCAGTCAAAGGATCGTTGCCACCATCGAGTGCTGAGGCCGATATACCAGAAAGGGAACTGCTACACGCTGGTTTGGCGTCCGCCGCACCGATGAAAGCGCCGCCGCCGCCGGCGCTCAACATCAAGAACAACAACGCGACGGAAGAGCACCCGAAGCGTAAGATGTCGGGCATTCAAAAGCTTGTGCAGAAAACCAAGATTCTGTCGCCGTTCCGCTCAAGCTCCAAGAAAATGATGGATGGTGTGCCAGAGAAAGAGCTGCCGCCTCCACCCGCTCCGTCCAGCATCCCTGCGATCCCTTCCAGCGCGGCGGTGATTCTTCCACGGCGCCAATCTCGCCTACAAACACCGAGTGACGAGGCTGTGGGGAGCCCACGCAACGGTGGACTAGCGGACGATGATGCCGACGATCCATTCAAAGGCTCCAATGGGTGCTATGCGTCTTGTTGAAAATTAGCGTTTGCTCACCAAGAAAAACGCCACGTAGGTTGCTAAGCCCAGGACGAAGCCAGCTCGGCGGCGCGGCACCAGGACCTTCTGGCTCAAGCGTGCTTCTTGAAGGCTGGCTGCGGCAAAAACAGCGTCGCGTACTCCCGCGCAAATCGAGACGATGGAACCTATCCATTCTTAGGGCATTCGCGGACTCAAGAAGTGGAACTCTCGGTACTTCGTCCTCCACGCCAAAGTCCACGAACTACGCTACTACTCTGATGTGGTACTGCCTTCACCAAACCATTATGATAATGCATAACATCAATCAGGTGCAATCGGGTTGGGGCCCCATCCCGCTCGGCGAGATCGGCTGCATTGCGCTGCGATCCATCCAACGTATTAGCAAGCCAAGTCACCCCAAGTACAAAGGTCAACTGCCGAGGCACAACACAAAGACGGGGCTCATTGACATGTACAGGCTGCCGATTTGATATCACCTGCCGAAGCATGCTGGGTACGCCGGACCCCGACGACGATGCATCGTCGGACGACGGAGCGAAAAATACGTCACCGCTACGGCAGCAACAAGCGCAGCAACAATCATCAACACCAGTGATCAAGACGACACCAAAGGCTTCGCGCATCTACAGCCTCGTAGCCGACTCACCCCAAGTATTGCTAGTTTTCCCCTTTTCCCACCAATGTCCAATAACTGCGTAGACAACTGTGCTTTGGGTAAACATGATCGACTCGCTCCTTACGCGCAGCGTCAATAGCCCACGCCCCGATATGTCGCAGGCCAAGGCACCCCAGCGTTTGTTTCGTTTACTTAAGACTCCCATTGTCGATTCACATGCGAAATGGTAGCGCTCAAGGCGCTGGCCCAGCTCAACCAGTCGCGCCAGAAGCCGGTACCCGAGAGTGTCTCCAATCGGCCACCAAATGATATGCTCGTCCTTGCATTTCCCGATGACATTGTGCCCAAGCCCATCGTGCATGCTGTCGACTACATCTTTGAGTCTTCTCCTGGTATCGAAACCGAGCTCTTTTACGAGAAAGAGGCTGCGCTGGGCCAACTCAAGGTATATACTACGACTTGACCGGGAACCGACTGATTGTCGCATTAGATAGTGCTGAATCGCCTCAACCAATGCGCTGCAGAGCGGCGCAAGCCTACGCGCAACGAGTGGGAGGACGTATTCGACGTAGTGAGTGCGGCAGGTACATCACAGTGTCCTGGTTGATGTGGTTAACGGTGGATTAGGCGTAGTGAAGCTCTGGTTACAACAGCTCGAAGGACCGATCATTCCGCACGAGATGTTTTCCGAATTCCAACGCGTCATGGATGAAGGCGCCGTCGCACCCTTTGAACTGATGCGCAACCTCAAGTCCCTCTTGGCGACGCTCCCCCGCAAGCCCTTGTATGACTATACTCTATCCTCCTATGCGTTTGGTTTGTTCGTGGCACTAAGGCATTTGTGAATGCGTAGCAAGCAGATTGCATTCGTTATCTTCCACTGGAATGACGTGACCGTGTATGCGTCCAAGAACAAGCTTACAGCGGCGGTGCTTGCAGCACGCTTCGGCGATTTCGTGTTGCGTCCTCGGCCTGGTGCGGCGGCCGAGTCTGAGACTGCCACACGCCTTGTTGAGTACATGATCACACACGCCGACGCACTCATTGACGAAAAGGAGTCTGAAATCCTGGACATGTAGACAGGTTTTGCACTTCGCGTGCTACAACAACGACTGTTTTGTGGTCCATGTCGAGCGCTTGATACATTTCTTGATACTATATCATATAGTGCTGGAAACAGTATCAATGTTTCCAGAGCGCCGCATGTGCAGTCTACGACGGAGGAAGAAAACTAACGGCGCGCTGAACAGCTTTGGCAGCTGGCCGGACTCCGCAACACAGATTGCGCCGAAGTCTGGCGGACAGACTTCATTGCGTCACAAATAACTGGAGCCGTTCGGCTGGCGAAAAGTAATCGAAACTTCCTGGCCTCAGACGCGAACCTCGTCCAACACAACGACGGAGCTGAGCATTCCATGCACAGACGGCAAGACTGTGGGGGCGCCATTCAGACAAAGCAAGAGTGTGCTGCAGCCGTGGGTACACGTGTACCAGCGAACCGAATCCTCCGAACACGATGCGTGCAAGGAGTACTGGCAGACCATGGGCAATTATAATATTATAAGCAGCAACGATGGGCCATGTTTGCAACTGTACACGGTATCAGGTGTCGTCCAGGAGTAATCTCTATTGCTTGGGACGCCTGCGACTTGACGCGTTTCGTCACACGGAGCATGAAAGACCACAAACAAAAACACAATGAAACAGAAAACACAAAGGACGAATGACAATACAAAAATGCAGGAGAAGAGCACGGCGGTATCGACAACGCAGGCATGTACACACGAGGCGTCCAATCTAAAACTCATTTCAACAACAACCAAGGCCTCCAATCTACAACACGCAATATTAATACTTGCAGCAGCAGCTGAGTGAGCTGCTGGAGAGCAGTGTACAAGTATCAGTCCGCAGGTCCTTTGGGCTCGCGACAAAAGAACGGTAGGTAGCACACCTACCGTTGATGTCGCAACTGGGAGGCATCTCCAATGCTCACATAGCACACCATTTAACTCGATTATGAACCTCTTCGTGTACACGCGTTGCTTTGCTCGCAGTGCGCTGCCACAACTTTAGTATCGGTTTTCTAGCAAATAATACCGGTACATAGCTACCGTTACTCCCTTTGCCAATGGTCGGTCCGTCCGCCGCACCGTTCCGACGTGCAGGGCGGCTTGGGGGGCCGACGAAACTCAGCGACCAGCACAGCTTCGATTTTATAGATAATTCAAGTGCAAAAGTGGGTGCGGAAATCGTTAACCCTACCTTCGAGCTGGTGATACAAAATGCAGTGTTCAGCCTAAAACTTCGATTTTGCACTGAACCATCTCAATGGCGCACCCGTGCCGGCGACTGCTGGCGAACCAGGCGCACCGGTGACAGGAGAAATTCAAGAAGCAGGCGGGATTTAAAGTCGAGTTAGCGTTGATCCACAGAAACTAGTGGTTTACTTCTATGAGCAACGTCGGTGCCAAAAGAGCCAAAAGGCGGCCCAGCTCATAATCGGTACAGTATGGGATACACCGACCAAGATGACACGAGAAATACCCACGATCGAGGTCTGGAAAGGAAATTTTTCTCATAAACGTCCCGCATGAGGCGGCCGATCGTATCCGGCGCAAGGATGCCGTCAGTACAGTAGCGTAAACCTCGGCGATCGAGCTTTCATCAGCGAACAGCTCCATGCATCCACCTCACTCTGTTCGCTGTAGCTGTTGCGTTTTGACTACTGAGCGATGTCGGCTCGAGGACATCCTGCTGCACCCATTTCAAAATACATTCGTCAGGCATCAAAACGCTTTTTCAAGATGCTAACAATGTGAATGTAGCTGGCTCGTGTCTCATGCTTGCCGAGTCGTGGATCCGTTGCTGTTGTATGACCTCTTAAGCCCGTGTGATTCGACACGATGCTGCCAAGCCATGACCGTCCCTATTATCTTTACCGCAGTCGTGTCGCAGGCGTTTCCGGAGGGAGACAGTGCTGGGAAAACGATGGAGGTCTGGGCTGGTCCTGGGAGGTGACAATCCGGATACACTCGCCAATCTTGAGATTTGTATGCTCTCGCCGGTGGCACCGGCGTGAGTAGCGGCGCCAGCTGCCGGGTCGCCCCAGTTCCAAATTCGTTCCTAGGCCATCGCGATGGAGCCGCTCGACAAGACGATGAGCGTGAACAGGACGATCGGGATCAACTCATCCGCGCATCGTATGATGTCCTTTGATGAAGCCACGGTCATTCGGCGCTGCTACCAGCGCAACAACCGGAAGGGCGGCCAGAAGAACTTGCGCTGTTTCCCGAACTGCTGCCAGGGCGTCCACGCAAGCACTGGCTACTGCGGCGGGCCCATCGTCGTACACTTGACGCACCCGGTCTTGAAGAAGGACACCAACTACATGCTGTTTGCCGAGTTCTGCCCCGTCGTGAACGGCGTGCCCGACGGCTCGTTGCACGAAGGCGACGTGTGGCCTGTCGAGAAGGCCCTCTCGCTCGCCCACAAGGAGAAGAACCCGCTTCTACCCCTCTACCAGGGCTCGCCGATGGACGGCGCACCGCACGCGTATTGCTTCAACGCATCCAAGAAAGGGTGGCACTACGGCTTTGTGAGCAACAAACACGTCTCGGAGATGCACCACGTGCTCATGGTCTACCTCCTCGAGCGCGGACCAGACGCGGCGCTTCACTGTATCGACACACTCGTCTCGGTCTCGTTTTCTATTTATTGTCGTCGCCGCGCCAAGACGTCGCGCCTCGGCGAGCTGCTGTCAGCCGACCCGGCGCCGCTCGTGCCCGCCGACGAGCGCAAACGCAAGGACGCAACGATCGACGCACCCAAGGTTCGGCCTCCTTCCCGCAGTAGCGACACGGACTGGATGATCTTAAATGAGCTTCTCTCGGAGACGACGCCGCACGACAAGGACCCGCCGTCGTCGCCCGAGACTACGTCGAGCCAAGAAGACGAAGATCTCCAAGTCATCAAGCGTATCAAGCTGCCACCGTCGTCATCTTCCGTCGTAAAGGAAGAGGTGCCATCGCCAAGTGCGTCGCCAGCAGATACAACAGAGTTTGTCGCGCCGCCGGGCTTCTACTCGGTCGCGCAGGTCAAGGCCGCGCTTGGCATTGCTGACGTGTTCAAATTTCCGCCCAAGAACCTTCGCGCAGTGGACGTCGTCACCAAAGCGTCCTCAGCAACGTCCACGACTTCATCGACAGCAACTTCGACGGCGACGTCGACGGCGGCGTCGACAAGGTCGTCCACGAAGGCATCGGTGACGTTCCCGTCGCCCATGCGATCGTACGACCCGCAGCGCGATTTTACGCAGTCGGCGCCGCATCTGTCACGACAAACGCACCGGCGCGTGCGCGGCCACGATATGCACGAGGCACTGTCGCAATCGACGCCGACGGCGCCCCACCAGATGCACCGTCCAGTGTCTTCACCGTTGCGGCATCGCAGCCAGAGTGCACTGCATGCCAACAGCTACACGGGCCCGTTTTTCACCAACCCCGCGCAGCAGCTCATGTTCCAGCAGCAGCAACAACACAGCTTTATGTACCCGCAACCGTATCCTGGCGGGTTTAGCCACCCTGCCATGATGTCGATGCCACACCCGTCGACGATGGGGTACCCACAAATGTACGAGCCGATGGGGTACGGGTTCCAGTCGCCGGCGTTCACGCGCATGAACTCGACGCCAATGTCAACGCCGTCGTCGAGTGCGTCGCCGTACCAGAGCCCACAGCCTTACACAACAAGCAGCGGGACGCCGTCTCCAGTATACACAACTCCGCCGAACCCGTCATTTGCCTTCCCGACGCCGGACCCTTCGGCGCCGTCCATGACAATCTTGGAGGAGCTCCTACTCGAAGATGACTCGGTGCAAATGGCTGTACCGTACCCGTCGCGCGACGTCACGCAAGCGTATTACCAGCGCCAGGACACGGTGGCTGCGGGTTTTGCCACCGTCACGCCGTGCCTACCCCTCGACTTGAAGCCGTCGTCTGCGCCGGCTCCGGCACCGATCGAGCGCCGGACGACAGATCACCGATCTCGGGACACGGTCATTCCGACCGAAATCGTCGTCACCCCCCGTGGTCGTACCGCTCGCGTGCATCTTGGCAGGGGGCACAGTAGTAGCAACGACAACCACACGATGTTGCCGGTCGCAGCGCCGACAACGAGCCGTCACCGGTCTACATCGGGGTCATCCTTATCGCCTCATCACCTCTCGATCAACATGGACGAGCTCATGTCGTCACGGTCCATCTACCTACGCATGGGCTCGCCATCGCAGCCATCGTTTGTGCGGCTTATTGCATCCAAATCGAAGAAGCGCAACAAGCACCGGCGCCGACGACGCAACTCAGACAACGACGACGACGAGAGCACCGAGGCGGCACCAGCTGTCGCGCCGTCCAACAAGCCGTCCAGCCTCGTCGCACTCGTCAGTGGCAACTGCAACTTGATTTTGAAGGCGCTGGCGTTTGTGACTCTTTGTGTCGTGCTGGTGTACTACTCGACGCACGTTGCTGCGGGCATGAAGCCCGAAGAACCGACCCAGACGACGTCCGCGGAAATGCACGCAATAGCCAATACCACCGACATCAAGGTCGGACGGCGCGCGCTCTCGTTAACTTAAGGCATCACTAGTAATATATCCACGCACTATATAGGGTTTGAATCACTTTCGATTTTGTCCATTTAAGAAGCGGTTTGGATCGACAGGCGCCGACGGGTCGCCACGGTTTCCAAGCTCATACAGTAGTGTTTTCGCATGCGATGATGCAAAGTCAGTCGATGGCCCGAAAACGTGCAAACCCGAGCGTCAGGCAACTTTCAATAATAAATACTTTACTTTGCGCCGAATCTTCGATCGATGTGGCGCAGGCGGCGGAAGACAATGGACGGTCGTTACGCCACCACCCAACCTGGGTTGCTTGTGCGACTTGAAGCCGACGTGTGGCTTCCGCTTCGGTCTTTGCGGCCAAGACGGGGGGCTTTCCAGGACCGCATCGAGCCGAGAACGAGGGTAGCGAGGGCGGCTTCGTGCTTGCTGTGGCCCAAGGCCGGGTTGTCGTAGATGCCTGGCGTGATGTTGCCCCGCGTGTCAGACTCTGGGCACACGCCCAGGTGCAAGAGAAATGCTTTGAGGGCGTCCGGCGTCTCAAATTTGACGCAGAGCCTGTCGTCTTCCGGAAGCGCGATCAGTGCCTTCAGATTGGCGTGCCATTGGACGCGAACAATAGTGTCGAGTGGGTAGTGGGCGTTGGTGTTGAGGACGACAAGGACGCCGACATCGGGGTGGACCTCGAGAGCGATAAAAGACCGGCGCCATCCAACCTTGTCGAGGACGCTCGAGTACTTGCGCGTGTAGTACACAACCATGGTAATGCGAAAATGACTCGTTTTGTAGCATACGGGAGGGTACGCCACTGAGGTAGTGCGATAGTATCTTTTCACCAAATATTGCAATGCGACCGATACAGTATTTCTGGATATCGACTTCCTTGTGGACAAACTGTGGAAATGGCCCGCTATTACCAGTCCCGGTCGATGGCCATCCACGAGGCGCAAACCACGCCGTCCGAGTGGTGGAGTTGCGAAACAAGCAGAGCCCCAGCATCTTGGTGAATCCGCTAATTACCTCAGCCGCGCTGGAAGGCGGTGGTCAGTCGCTGGCCAGCGCGAGGGCCAGCACGATTACACCCATTTTTTCTGCGGGGCTGCTCTGCGGGCAAACAAGCGTCAGCGGTGTATGTCGCCCATCACCTATCCATTTCATCGGGCAATGCACAAAGAAGATACTACTGCCTCGCAAATGCTTAGCTGGTCAAAAATTTGCTGCCCTCTGACCTTGAAGGTACAAGCGTAAGCGCTGCTTGTGATTTACCGTCATCTTGGGCGTGAAGTCCCACGAATGTGTTGCCTTGGCGTTGTCATCGTCAACCTTGGGCTCTAAAGCAACAATTGTGGCCATTGGTTTCTTCTCGAACGGCGAAAGCCCATCTTCTTCCTTGGCTTGTGGCACGTTGCACAGCTCGTCCTTGAGTGTGGCCATCTATTACACGCGGCGTGTGAGCTTGCAGCCGACGATGTACGGCTGGTGACCGTGTTGTGGAGTTGTGCGCATGCCGTCTGCGATGGGATGGATGTGGGAGACAAGCAGTTTACGAAAGTCTACGCTACCTCTAACGCAGAGTGTTGCGCATGGATCGGTGCTAGCTGGTAGAGAAAATGAAGCTTGTGAGCTGGGTCATTCGAAGGTACGTACTTGCTGTGTGAGCTGGCCGACGTAGGTTGCATGTGCCTCGGCAATCAGAGACCGCCGCGTCGCATCCAAGGTGCCTACCACAATCCGAAACGATGGGCGTTCTGATATCGCAGCTGGCGAGGAATACGCTGCAGGTACTGAGCGTGCTGCTTCATTTTAGTCAGCTGCTTGGCCACGACATCGCGAGCATCTCGCTCTCGTTGGCACTGACGCGCGGCTTCGTCTCGCTACTCGCGTTGGAAGTTGGTCGCTCTTTTGCTCATTTGCGGCTCACGGACCTCGGACTTGGTGTGCTCAAGCTCTTGCTGGAGGAGTTGTGTCTACACTGTACAGTCAGCAAGAGTGAAAAAGCATTTGAATCGTTGTTGCCACCTTGGCCCGCTCGGCAGCCACCTCCTGTACCAAGCATGAACATTTTTTGTTGACAAGAGAGAGTTGAGTGCTTGTCGCAGCGAGCGCTGTCGTTGGTCGCTCCAAAAGGCTATCGAGAAACTGCGATGAGTTCATCATTCTTCAATATGGTACTGCATCAAAGAAGCTTCGCACGTACGCAGCGACAAGATGCTCCAGCTGCGCAGCCTCTTGGGTCAAGTCGAATGACGGGCGATCCTCGCAAAGAAGTAGCTTCAAGTCGCATGTCGTCAGCGGCGAAAGCAGCCGGAGAAGCCACTGCACAAAGAGGCTATTCGCCTCGTGCTCAGCGACATCCGCTTGCGCAAAGGCGGGTGAATGTTCCAGTTCTACCACCTTGGTGCGAAGCTCAGCTTGTACGACGTCAAGAGCTGCGTGTGCGATCGCTGCGACTATCGGTAAAGGAGCACCAGGCAACGTGGGCGGCAATATCGTTGTGGCGGAGTGTTGGGCAATTGAGGTAATCGTACAAGGTGCGGATAGAGCTGCAACAGACGAAGCAGTCGCTGGCGGCGTCATTATTGTTGGTTGTGGCGCCTTGGCCGTTGTGTAGGCTTCTGCAGGCGGCGAAGCCACTAATGGTGGCGTACCCTCTGCACTCGAAAGCACGTCTTTGCGCTTTGTGCGTACGAGGCTCTTGGATCGAGTCGTACGGGGACGCTCGGACTGGACAGGCTCGCGTTCAAGGTTGCGACGCAGTCGTTCAAACTTGTCGTGGAGGTCGCGCAGCTCGTGGCACGTATGGATTGATGCATGATGTTGCGCACTCGTCTTTGTCTGCTGCGACCGAGAAGGCGTAGAGTTACGCACTGCATCGTCGGAGTCGTCCCAGGGTGGCAGCGCCCACGTCCGTCCAGTGTTCATGTTCAGCATTACCGCGATTGGTTGAAAAGTTGGATCTTACTTTAGAGAATGATGGTCTGATTTGACATATCGATCCCACGGACATGGTGGCTCATGACTGCATGCTCGCATTCACCACAAGCTGATGTACCTCTTGAAGTGCATTCCGGAGTCCCTCTGCTTGTTGCACTAAGACGAATGTACCATGTCTTTGCAAAGTCTGCCTCAATTCCAAGCTGGGTGGGAGCTCCTCCGACGAATTTATCGACAAATAATTGCGCGGCAATCAGCCAACAACAGTACTACCAAATATGGCAGCCCTGTACGAAATCTCCGATACCAGAAGCTCGTTGGTGGCCATTAGCCTTGAGGTGGCGCAGTGATGCGTTGGCAAGGGAGGCCCTGACCCGTCAGACCAGTGTCTCTGCTGTGAATGCAACAATTCCGAGCGTCAAGACGTAGTGATACTCAGCACCAAAAAGATTATTGAGTGTCTCAGAGTAATGCTTGTCTCGGAGTGCGCAGAGGAGGTAACTTGTGCACGAAGGACTACTACATGACTCCGTACCCGCTGGCTTAGACCGTCGCGAGGAGGACGTCTGCGTGGTGGTTGATGTGGTCTTCCATGAACGTCGAAACGAAGTAGTAGCCGTGGTCGTAACCATCCTAGTAGTCAGGACCATCAACAAAAGTTGGACGACAGACAATTGAGCAACCTGCATGCGCAGCGTCAACGGCTGACCGACCTTCTGGCATGCCGCCTACGCCAAAAGATGTTTCGTGCTTGCTCTACCAAGCGCCGCATACCTCGAAGGCTTCCGGCAGCAGTTGCTTGTCTGCGAGGAACTGGTCGTCCGTGCCTTGATCGATGAGGATGTTGAGATTCGGGTTCGCACCCTTCTCAAGAACAAGAAGCGTCGCATCGTGCGCCTACATAACAAATCAATGAAATACGTACGACCTATGCTTGTAAGAAGAATACCTTCCACGTCGACTGGTCCGTGCCGAGGTACCCCGTGAACGCCTTGATACCCCATGGGCACTGCGTCGGGTGGCAAATCGGCGCAAATGCCGACACCGACTTGTAAAGGTCCGGGTTCTTGAGCGCGAGCGTGAGCGCACCGTGGCCACCCATCGAATGCCCCATGATCGACTGCTTGCCATCGATGATTGGCAAGTTGGCGGTCACGAGGGCCGGCAACTCCTTCGTCACGTACGAATACATGTTGTAGTTCTCAGCCCACTTGGGCTCCTTAGCGTCCACATAGAACCCCGCGCCTGTGCAAGCGTGAGACCTTTCAATTGCATTGATCGAAGTATACCCGTGCCAAAGTCCCAGTGATCACTGTCGCCTTCAATGTTGATGCCACGAGGACTACAGTCAGAGAGCGTGAACGTTGGCTGCGACGAAATCCATACCTCGTGTCGGGCGTAATGAGTGCAACACCACGCTTTGCGGCCATGCGTTGGGCACCACCCTTGATCTGCATGAGCTCTTCGTTGCATGTGAGGCCCGCCAGGTAATAGATCGCCGGGACTTTCGCAGCGTCAGTTGCGGCTTTTGGGAGGAAGACGCAGAACTGCATCGTCATGCGCGTGATCGCACTTTCGTGGGCAAAGTGCTTCACCACGCCGTCAAAGCACTTGGTCTGCTTGAGAAGCTTCAGAGCCATCTTCGTTGACCTTCGTCCGATTTCAATTTTGAGGCCCCAGCTGAGCCAACGTGTCCGGATACTATATCCGGTACTTCGGACCTTGAAGTTGCCGGCCATACAAACATCAAGTGGGTGCGATCTTGACAATCTTGGTCCATTAAGACAAAGTCCATTAATACCAGCAAAATCACGCAAACGGCCGACGACGGCGTCACGTGCGGTGCCTTGTTAAGCTCCAAGTCTACACCGCCGCGACTGATACGACTACACAAGGCGATCGAGCCGTAGTCCCTGCCGAAGCCCGATGACGACTTCGACGATGCACAATCGCCTTTGCGATCAGCTTTGACTATCCAACGTACTAGTACCGTGGTCTATCAAGCGACGCTTCACAGCGTATATTGGTTCTACATAGTCTAGCTTCGGGACCATCTGCATAGTACGCTACGATTAACAGCTCAACAGGGCCCACCGAGTGTACAAACGAAACAAAGTCCGAAGTTTTCTACATGTAGCTTAGGATCATCAGTCTAGAGTGAAGGACTCGCGTCAATATCGCGCGAAACGATGGCGAAGACGACAGCCTAAACAAGCCACGAGATCTTTAGACGAGCATTTCTATTGACACGAGACCCCTTTTCACTTTCGTAGGACTACATTGCTGCCATAACTCTTCGAGCAGTGAATACTTCGCTGGCGGTGAAAGCGTTGTACAATTGTACTACAATTGTAGTAAGTTAGGGCAATAAAGTCGTTGCAAATGCGAAGGACCACGTGTTTGGTGGAAGGTTCCAGCAGGATCGAGGGCGTTTGGAAGTTTGGAATGTATACAACAAGAGTTCTCATTACGATGTTTGTAGTTGTCCATACACGACCTCATGGTTGTCGTGTTTATGTACTTATGTGCACGGTGTTATGTGATCCATCGTAATTCTCAAACCCTCCGCACCCAGCGCCCGTTAATTCTCGTATACTGCTACTGAATACAACATCGACGCAAACTATTATTTGTTTATGCTTAGCTCGAGGGTCTGCTCATCCCAGTGTCAAGTGCGATCCATACGCATCATTGCGGAAAGTGCTGAGCTCAGCTATTA